CCGGCACCCCGGCCGCCCCGGTGCCCAGCGCTCGGGGCTGTCCCCAGGGCAGAGCCAGCGCCCCTCGGCCGCGCTCCCCGCAGCCTGTGCAAGCGAAGGGGCTCCCCGGGGAAAGAGGGTTGTAAAGTAAAAAGTTCACTCGCTCGCTCTCTCGGGGGAAAACAAAACAAAACAAAATAGCAAAAAACCCCAACAAAAAAACCCACCCCAAAACCCCTGGAAGCGGCAGAGGGAAATGACCACAACCCTCCACCCGCTCCCGTGCGTTAAAAGGACGGAGTGGAGAACCCCCCGCGACCTCAGCGCGGGGGGGATGAGCGCCCACCCGGGACAGTCCACCTGCAGGTGCCCCGAAGCGCCTTGTCCCACCTTTGCAAGAAAATGGCGTGATAGGGTGGCAGTCCACGCCGAAGGTGGACCCCACGTAGTCACGGGGTGGGCTATTCACACTTGTGTCATGCAAGATTAGCTGTCGTGGAGCTTTTTGTTTTCCTTTGTTTTGTTTGGGGTTTGGATGCTCCTTTTGATTATTATTCATTATGCCAGTTTTATTTTCGAATCAGTGACACAACTTCAAGTCTGAATAATTATTATTTACAGTTCTGGAAAGAGGTGCATGAGACGTCCAAACGAGCCCCGGTTATGGAATTGGAAACCTTCATTTCCGTAGGCGTACAGGTACATATATGAAGCCAGCCACGATCTGAAGCCCAGCAGGAGAAAAACAACGTGTAAAGGCACCATGGATAATCACAAGGGTAACCAACCAGTTTTTCTAGTGCTCCCGAAGCACCGGCATCCCTTTCTTCAGACCTGTCCTCCGTGCCTTGTCGGGTCACGTAGCGGTGCAGGAGAATTAACCTTTGGCTTTTTCTTACGCAGTCTTTTGTGGCTTGGTCATCTTTCTTCAGATCGCCGACCTACCGCGGGGATCCACCTACAATTTCAGCCTCTGTAACCACGACGAGATACAAGAGGACCTCCTAAACGTTTTGGATCCACAATCGATCTTTGAAAAAGAGGTTGGTGGTTTCTCTGGTGGCATCGGAGGGAAACTGTCGGGACGGCACTGCCTCCACGATTTTACCCTTGACCGCCGGCAGCTACTTTCCGAAAATCCCGATTAGCAAGCCGGGAGTTGGCTAGTTTAGTAAACCGGGGCCTGCGAAACAGGACGGGGAAGTTATCTCCTAATCTCCTCCGGCGACCTTCCTAAAATGCGCTTCGCTGAGGCCGGGACTTGGCAGGGACGGCGAGCAGGAGCCCGCGCGGCTGCTGCCAGAGCGCTACCCGACCCCTCCCGGCGCCTTGCAGACCCGTAGGACTGAAGGTCGCTTGTGTAAGGCTTCACCGACGCTGAAGACGGTGTCACGGTTGCAAAGGTGATCAGCGGTTGAGAAGCTACGCGAATGGTTCAACGCGCAG